AAACAACTGCGACGGGTCTCTGAGTCAAGGTCAGACTGAAGATCAGGAGATTCGATATCAAGCGTCTTCCAGAATCTTTTACCTGGACAATAAAAACAAGAACATCAGCTTCCTTAAACTCACTAAACCCTGTCATCTTTGCCGGGGTGAGTGTGTCGGAGATTTATGAGAGGACGTCAGCGCCGCATTTTTCCTTCTGTTTTTCCAGCTAGATTTTTTCCTCCTCCTTTTCTAAGAAACCAAAACACAGCTAACACTCAGGAACATACCAGTGATTGTTCTACCTCCAAAAAATATAAATTATGTAAAAATAATAATAATAATAGCAATAATATTAATAAAAGTAATAATAATCATTTATACTGTTATATTTTTATATATTACATAAAATTATTTTTTTTTTTTACATAAACTGATTATTATTACTATTATTGTTTTATATATTACATAACGGCTTTACTTAAAAGTTAAGAATTAATCAACATATAAAATATATTAACACTATTAGTACTACTACTACTACTACACTACTACTAATTTGTTATTATTATATAATACAAAAATATTATTTATACATTGTAGTTAATATACGTAAAAGTTAAGCATTTAACATGAAATACAATATTAAATCTAATAAAATAATAATAATAACTGTTATATCATTGTTTATATATTATATAAAATAACAATGATAAAAAACTTCTTATTACCATTATTATTTTATATATATTACCTAACGCTTTACTTAAGAATTATTTACTATATAAAATATAATATTAACACTACTACTAAAATAATAATAATAATCATCATCATAATCATCATCATCATCATCATCATAGTTATGCAATATGGATTTATATAAAATATTATTTTATATATTACAGCTAATATACATAAAATCATTTAATTTATAAAATACAATATTAACAAGCATAATACAAATATTAACAAGTATAATAATAATAATAATTGATATTGTTATTATTTCTTGAATATATTAATAATAATAATAACGTTTTACTTAAAACATTTAGCATTATTTATATATACAATGTAAAATTACTACTACTACTACTACTAATAATAATAATATATATGAAATTAATAGCAACATAATATTACAGTCATTAATATTAATAGTATTCTTCATCATCATCATTATAATTATTATTTTAAAATAAATTGTTGTGTAACAAAATATACCACTACTATTAAAAACAAATAAATACATAACTAAATATTAAATATTTTGTTTACATTATTTATACTTTAAATTATTTTTATTGTTATTTATGTTATTATTAATAGTAGTATATAATAATAATAATAATGTCCACAACTCCGGAACCAAATTAAGATTGATGACATATTATTTGACATATTATTAGCTTCTATTAATTATCGTCTAAGATTATGTTTCAATCCCAATAATCAACAACATCCAAGCACATTTAAGCAGCAAATGCAAGTTTAGATGGTCTTAACTAAAATGCACTGCTTGCTAGCAAACCAAAAAAAGTCATTCTTGTCAGGTGAATTCAAAGCGAGTTATCCAGACAAAATCCGTCCTCAAATCCTCAACGCTCTGACGTCATCAGAGGAGAACAGAATGGCTATGACAATATAAAAGCGCAAACCCGCGGCTGCTGAACTTTGACCTGAAAACGGCCCGATTGCGCAAGAGTCGCTGTCAGCACAACAGAACAACGCTCACAATAACAGAACACGCTGTGCCAGAGGAGGAGCTATGACTTATCTGAACAGCACATCTCCTGTTTGTACAGTCTTCTGTCGGACCCAGCGCCTCACGCTTCCACTGTTTGCGCTCATGACGTTTTTATGGAGGAAAAAAGGACCAAGTTTAATGCTGTTGCTACACGAGGACCAAGATATTTATCTAAACGTATTCAAATAAATGACAGCTTTCTTTTGTGCAAAGGAAATAAACGTTCCCTGGGCAACAAATGAAGCAAACACTAAACATTTGCTTTATACATGAAGCATGCTGAGTTTTTTCGTCTAGCTAAGAATGGAAAGCGCCGCTTACAGAAGCACCTGCACAGATTTGATCTTTGCACTCAAGCTCACATCTGCATCCACCGGCTCAACTTAAAATGCTTCCTGACACTAAACGCCTGCTTACACACAAAACACTTTACTTTACTGTAGGGCTGCATGATAAATCGCATGCGATATTTAACGCGCATCTTATCAGTAAAGCCGGTTCTGTAATCAGCGGTAAATCTCCATCACGTGTGTGCTTTCACATTGAGCAGCATTAACTACACAGAGCCGTTGTTCACTGACGAGCTGCGCAAAAAATCGCGCGAATATGAACGTGGTTTTGCGCAGCTCGTCTGTGAACAATGGCTCTGTGTAGTTAATGCTGCAGTAAAACACAAACTAACAAATAAATAAATAAAAATCACAAGGTAGAATCACATTAATAAAAAATTACAAACATTAATTTTAGTAATATTATAAATAAATTGCACAGAATAAATAATATTTTAAATATACTACTACTAATAAAAACATTTAAATATAGTCCGCTATATTATTAATCCTTGTAATAATTAATAATAGATTAATAATTAATAAACAAAAAACAAAGAAATGAATATCACAAATTAAAACAATATATAAATATTATGAATAAATTATACAAATACATTACAAGAATTAAAAGAAAAATATATTTTTTAAATATACTTTTACTACTATTACTAAAATAAAAATTAAATAGTCCACAATATTATTAGTCCCTGTAATAATCATCATTATTATTAAATAAAATAAGTAAATAAATAAATGTAGAATGACATTAGAATTATGAATACTATGAATAAATTACACAATCACAGAAATGTTTTGAAAAACTACTACTGCTTAAAATAATGAAAACATTTATATAAATAAATACATAGAAGAATAAGATTAAATACATTCTATTCTGTAATGATATTATTTTTAAAATGTGTGTAATATTTTTGTGTAATTTATAATAAAATATGATGATAATATTTTCATATATTACAAATAATAATAAAAACATTTAAATATGGTCCACAACATAATTATTAATATTACCCACATCATTATTATTATTGCTGTAATACTAAAATAATACTACTAATAATAATTATTATTATTGTTGTTGTTGTTATTTCATGATCATGGTATCTTGAGTAATTGTCATCAGGAGATGTAATCATGCCAGACCTAAAACAGGGATAATTTTGTCGGCTTGAAATAAAATACAAATGGAAGAACACACCTATGTAGTAAAGTTCCTTCTGGAATTAAGTGCAAAACAAAGTCAAAAACCTTCCATCTGGAACACAAACCGTTTCCCATTATTATCTGTGCAGAAATAGAATTCCTTGGAGGAGCGAGAAAACATGAACGTCAGGCTAAACAAGCAAATAGGCACAGGTTGTGTTGATCTGGCTCGGCGGAGAGCGCCTGTTTCTTTCGGGATCTGGAATCTTGCTGTAGGGTTATACACTCGCTCACCCCAGCGCCTGCCCAAATGCAGCAGCATTGCATCATACTCCAGAAATGGGGTATCGCTTTGACATTACAGCTGATAAAAACATCACAATAATCCACACCACTCCAGTACATCAATTAATGACGTGTGAAGTAAAATATAAATCTGCTCTGAAACTGATATGACTGAAAAATGGTTATTTTTCAATCAATGGAACCTATTTTCTTCCATACTATGGAAGCCAATGGCTACCATCAACTGTTTGGTTATACACATTCTTCAAAATATCTTCTTTAGTGTTCAACAGCATTTTTGTTACTTAAGTTTATAATTAGAGATGCTACAAAAATATTTAGTCTGAAGACAATTAAGTATTGCTAGAAACTTCTTTAGAGAGCTTAACGGCCCAAAAAAAACCCAATAAAACCACACCAACCACAATGTCGCTTAAATGTATAATCACCAACAAATTCAGCACAAATATATCATGGATATTCGAAATACCATAAACCTCTGCCTCCACTGAGAAAGTAAACGCACAACATACGCAATATTAATACATACGCGTATTTCAACATCAGTTCACAAGCGACAAATTTAAACCATTTCATTAACTGCACTGTAAAACAAATTCCGTAAAATTTAGCGATTTATCGTGCAGCCCTATACTCTACCATTCAAAAGCTTGGAGTCCATTTTTTTTTTGGGGGGGGGCTTTTATTTAGCAAGGTGTGATGATAAAGACATTTATAATGTTACAAATGATTTCTATTTCAGATAAATGTTGCTTTGAAATCACAGGAATAAATTACATTTTAAAATATATTCAAATAGAAAGTTATTTTAAATAGTAAATATATTTCAAAATTTTACTGTTTTTTGTTTTTGCTGTACTTTGGATCAAATAAATGCAGGCTTGATGAGCAGAAGAGATTTCTTTAAAAAAAACATTACAAATCTTACAGTTCAAAAACTTTTGCCTGGTAGTGTATATGTATTTAAAATATAATATATTTAATACACTAATTTAATATTAAAATTATGAAAAAGTTGTTTGAATCAATGATTCAACGACTCACTCATAAACCTACTGGATGAATCAGTGTTTTTGAACGATTCTCTTGAATAAATGATTCATTCAATTATAATCGACACAAACGTTATGTGGCAGTTACTTTCAAACGCGGATTTGCTCTATTTTGGTCGCGCTACCATAGACATCAATGTTTATATCTGAATTATAAACTTTCATCCCAGTATTTCTGTGATAATATGAATGACTGTATGACAGAAATAATACTGTGTAGTAGTTTTAAAAGACTTTTTGTGAAGCTGTTTCTTAACCAAACATGGTAATTGCTCTCTGTGTGTCAGCGGCAGCGCGAACGCAGATTTTAATGATCTGGTAAGACTTTGTCAAAGGTTTAATAGACATGGGAGGATCGTTGTCATTTAGAAATGAGATCGTGTGGTTGTCTGAATCGAGATCGCGATCTTTTAACGATTAATCGTACAGCTCTAATGCTACCGTAAAAAAATTTTCACCGTATATAGTGAGAAGGGTATAACTGCAGCCTGGAGATCTCCAAAACGGGGTGGGAGCTCCAAAATAGGGCGTGGCCTCCTCCCATTGACAGACAGGCACATGACACGCATGCAAATTTTTTTCT